TCGGCTGAGCCTCACACAGAGCTTATGCGAGAATCAATTGCTAGATCTCAGTTGAGCATGACGCAAAGCTCTTCCGCTGCCCCCTTAGAGCACTTTCCAAAAAGTGTTCCTACCCCGTGTCGCCTTGCGTGCCCTCTTCACACTCTACCGCGTGGCACCCTTTACGCATTATTTACAGCCATGTATGCATTCACACATCTACATTTAGTGCGTGGAAATTTTCTAAAGACCTGGGAGTTTTTTTATTTTTTTCTTAAAACATTAAACTTTAATTTTTTATCGTTTAGTACAATTTTGTTTATTATTCAGATTATTTCCAATTTCTTTTACTTTTTTTAGTTCTTTTTACTGGTTCTTTTACTTCTTTAATTCTTTTACTTTTTAATAATGAATTCAGGTACTCTGTCCACCCTCAGCGCCCACCCCCAGAGGCCAAAAAACATTAAAGCAAATATGCTTACCTCAGTTAATAGGCGCCTTCTTTGGTCTCTGAATGAGCCACCACCAAGGGCTACCGGTACCACATTCGATGTCCTCGTTCCAGCCCCACGTTGATTGAGCGCCAAATATGTTGTGGAAAAAAGATTCTGGTCTATAAAATATTCTAAGTCCCCAAGTCAAACTTTTAAAAAAATGACAAAGTCTGAGATCTCCGAAGTCTTTGGGCAAAGCAGTTTATTGTTAAAGCATCAGTAACGACAGAGACAGGTCGTTCGAGTGTCTGCTAAACATAGGCTTGCACACAGTTTAAATACAGTTCTGAGTCTTAATACTCCACCCAAATTTACACAGTACACACCTACATCAATTTCTCCGCTAATGGGATCTTAAATCTCTTAGGTGTCCGCCACCAATAAAGTCTCAGGGTCTTTCAGGGGTCTTACCCATGTCCAGTTAAGGTCTTTCCTTCCTGTTTCAAAAGTGATGACTCAGCCAAAAAACAATGCTCAACAATTTGTCTTGTTCACTGTCCACTGAGCTGCTGAGCTGTCAACTGTAAGTTCAGCTGAAGTTCATAAGTTGTCATAACTATTTTTGGATGTCAGTACAAATGAGTGTGGGCGCACGTTGAGGTGCGCCTTATAATGAGTTACAGAGCAGAACGCAGGTGTCCTTATGGCCTTGCATCCATAAATCTAGCCTCACTGTGACATTAATGCTGCTCTTCTAATTTATCTTCTCATCTCTGACTGCATTTACACAAAAATACTTTTTTTTTATTAATCAAAGCACACATACCTGATGATATTGCCCCAGGTATGGGTAATAGTACAATAATAATAATAATAATAATAATAATAATAATAATGAAATCACTCAAATAAGCATAAAAATGAAAGTAATAGATTCATCAGAAATTCATCAAGACAATGAATTCCCCAACACATGGAGTCCAAACTATTGTGTTGTACTGATGTCTACACCCACAACAACCATAAACCCAACCTCACAGTAACCTGTTGTGTTTTAGCAACATCCACACCAACCATAAGCCTAAACCCCACCTCACGGTAAACTTTGTGTACCGTAAAGGTTTCCGCCAACCACAACCCAAAACCTTGCCTACTTGTAAAGCCTTGCCATATACATGTACTGTTCAAAGTTTTAGGCAGTTGTGCAAACAAGCTTTAAAATAAAAATGTGTTCAAAATAATGCTTAATTACTTTTTTAAATACTTTTTATTTATCAATTAACTTGTATTAACTAAATCAAAGCAACTACTGGTATGACCATATTTTGCATTTAAAACATTTGGTACACTTGTTTCAGGTGGCTTTGCAGGTAGGTTTTTATGGAGCATCTTAGAGATGTTGTCAAAGTTCTTCTGTATGTACAGTTGTTTGTCTCAGTTTTTTTCTGTTTCATCATATCATTCCAGATAGGTGATAATCAAATCTCTGTGTGGAGCACTGCCTGTTACAGAAATATATAAAAATAATAATACAGTGTGTGTGTGTGTGTGTTTTGTGACATATCAGGACACAAATATGTATAATGACATAGGTATGACACAGATATTACAAAAAGGAGGTGAACTATGAGGACATTGGTGACGTCCTCATTTCTCAAAATGCTTATAAATCCTACAGAATGAGTTTAAGAATGAGTAAAGCTGTACTTCTCCTGTGATGGTTGGGTTTAGGGTTAGGGTGGGGTGAGAGCAATACAATATACGGTTTGAACAGTATAAAATGAATGCAAACCTATGTAATGTACTCACTTTTCACTAAACAAACGTGTAATTATATATATATATATATATATATATATATATATATATATATATATATATATTAGGGATGTAACGGTATTGTAAATACCGTCATACCGCCATATTAATTTTTTTCGATATTACCGTAGTCGCATGACTCGGTAAAACTATAGGTCTTCTGAGAAAATTTGCTCAGGCGAATGAAGCGAACTGGAGGTAGCGGAAACTACAATTCCCATCAGCCCAGACGTGGCCATCATCCCTTGCGGTTAGTTGTCGCTACAGATCCAGTAATGCGGAAATGGAGTGTGCTGCTAGAAGCGGGGATCAAAAAGAGCTGGAAATGATCGAACCTGAAGCGGGTGTTGTCGCCGCACGCGTACTGAATAGCGGTGTTGTCGGGACGGAGGGTGTGTCGCGTCGCAGGGGCACTTTTGATCATTTTGGAAGGGCACCTTTTATCCAAGACTAAAAAGGGCATGCGCACTGCACAGGTTGAGCCCTATGTGTGCACATGCCTGCAAGTTGGGGAATACAACTAATAACAGTCATGGGGACTGCAGAAACACAGCACACTGTTCAGATTGACATTGACATTGACTTGTACCGCAAAGAGACCTCTATCTCACTCATGGCTTGTCCTCTCAAGTGGGGGAAAGACAATGCACAACGTTACCCACTGCTGTCAACCTGGGCCAAGTCATATCTCTCTGTCCCAGAAACCTCAGTCCCAAATGAGAGGGTTTTTTTCTGTTGCAGGGGACATTGTAAATACCCAGAAATACCAGCTTTTACCAGATTATATTTATATGATAATTTTCCTTAAAACCCATCTCTATCTAAGTGAGTGAGTGATTAAATGTTGAATGTGATGAGTTTTCAACAATACTAAATTGAAACTTTATTTTTTTACATGGTTTAATAATTTTTTTGTTATTAAAATTGAAGTTCCTGTTTCAAAGCTTACAGATAGATGGCTAATTTGTATGTCATTGACACTTTTGGCACTTTTTTGGAGTATTTTCATAAGTTTTGTTTTTTCCTGTAAATTATTTCATAAATACCGTACCGTGACATTCATACCAAGGTATTACCGTACCGTGAAATTCTGATACCGTTACATCCCTAATATATATATATATATATATATATATATATATATATATATATATATATATATATATATATACACACACACACACACACACACACACACACATATATATATATATATATATATATATATATATGTGTGTGAGAGAGAGCGAGCAAGAGCCGTTTAATGTTCAGTTGTGTTTACTGAAATTGCTACTACCTGTCTGTTGACTATCTGCTAAACATTTACAGAATAGTAACCATGCTGTCTTTGATGTTGGCTCCTTACAGTCATTCAACAACATTTCTTAGGTTTTCACTTCATTTTGATGGCCCAAGTGTGACAACAGATGAGCAGATAAATGTAACTTAAAGTAAACGAACTGTCTACTGAAAGTTAGGTTCAATGCAACAAATAGTTAGTTGAAGACTTTTGCAAATACATGTATGAAATTTGTACCTATTCGTAACCTTATACTAAATTAAAGTTCATTTTAAATTATGTTGCATTGCTACTTATAGGTATCTGAATGTTTACTGAAGGTCTATTGATAAACTGATTAACAACTACATGCAGACAATGACAACAAAAAAATCTTGGTGGTAAATGTACTGAAAACTTGTTGAAGATTTGTTGCATATCTACTAATAAACTGTTGATCATCTACAACTTAATTTGGTAGCATGTAACTTATCAAAAGTTTAATAAATGTTGAAGATTTGTTGCATATCTACTGATACTCTGTTGAACATCTGTTGAAGATTTGTTACATATTTACTGATACACTGTTGAACATCTAGAACTTACATTGGTAACACAACTTATCGAAAGTTTAATAAATGTTTACATGTTGTAGACATTGTAATGATTGCCTAAGAACATTTAAAAAACAATCTAAAGATACTACCCAGATGAGAGTAAACAGATAAGAACTTGAAAAGTAACTTATGGTCAACAGACTATCTAAAGGGGGACCATCAAAATAAAGTGTTACCCTTTACCACACACCAGCTATTGGTGGAGTTGAGAGACAGTGATAGAGCCATTTCAGTGGATGGGGATGATTGGAAGGCTGTGATGGAGGGAATTTGGTCAGGACACCGAGATTACACCCCTACCAGAAGTGCCATGGGATATGTAATTACCACAGAGAGTCAGGGCCTTGGTTTAACATCTCATTCAAAAGGCGGCACTCACTGACAGTATCGTGTACCCTTCAATATACTGGGGCATTAGTACTCACACAGACCACAGGTTGAACACCATCCGTATTTTCACTTCAAACCGGAACAAAAGTAGGATTCTGTAGTGATTCTTCCACATCATCCCCGTCTTCTTTGAGGCGCTGTATCCGTGCGCGAGAGAAGGAGAGAGGCCGTGTTCTCTCCGATTTTCATTCATACTGTAAAGAACATACTTTTTTTAGCAGCTGAGTAGTATGTTTAAATTCTAATGCAGTACCTACTGACTAGTTTCAGACACAGCCCATGTGTTTCTTACGCTGCCCCGAATAAGTGAAACTCTGTACACACTGATCATGTCTATGGTTTCTCTCCAGTGTGAATCCTCTCGTGTTTTCAGGGTTCCTGAGTGAGTAAACCTCTTACTGCAGTGTGAACACTTTTATGTTTTTTTCACCAGTGTGAATCCTCTGGTGTTGTTTCAATTCTGCAGCTGTAATAAAAGTCTTCTCACACTCCAAGCACATTTACTATTGCACCAGTGTGGATCTTCATGTGTTTATTAAGGTGTGATGATTGGCTGAAACTCTTCCCACACCGAGTGCATGTGAATGGTTTCTCTCCAGTGTGGATCCTCATGTGGTTATTAAGGTTTGATATTTGGATGAAACTCTTCCCACACCGAGTGCATGTGAATGGTTTCTCTCCAGTGTGGATCTTCATGTGTTTATTAAGGTATGATGATTGGTTGAAACTCTTTCCACACTGAGTGCATCTGAGTGGTTTCTCTCCAGTGTGGATCTTCATGTGTCTACAAAGCGATGATGAGTCACTAAAACTCTTCCCACACTGAGTGCATATGAATGGTTTCTCTCCAGTGTGGATCCTCATGTGTTTATTAAGGGATGATGATTCGCTGAAACTGTTCCCACACTGAGTGCATGTGAATGGTTTCTCTCCAGTGTGGATCCTCATGTGTTTATTAAGGTATGATGATTGGTTGAAACTCTTCCCACACTGAGTGCATGTGAATGGTTTCTCTTCAGAGTGAATCTTCATGTGGTTATTAAGGTTTGATATTTGGATGAAACTCTTTCCACACTGAGGGCATATGAATGGTTTCTCTCCAGTGTGAATCATCATGTGTTGATTAAGGTGGGATGAGTGGATGAAACTCTTCCCACACTGAGTGCATGTGAAAGGTTTCTCTCCACTGTGGATCCTCATGTGTTTATTAAGGGATGATGATTGGATAAAACTCTTCCCACACTGAGGGCATATGAATGGTTTCTCTCCAGTGTGAATCATCATGTGTTGATTAAGGTGGGATGAGTGGATGAAACTCTTCCCACACTGAGTGCATGTGAAAGGTTTCTCTCCACTGTGGATCCTCATGTGTTTATTAAGGGATGATGATTGGATAAAACTCTTTCCACACTGAGTGCATGAGAAACGTTTCTTGTCTCTTCTTTTCAAAATACCATCAGTCTGTAAATGCGTTTTTTCCTCAATTTTGACATGATGTTCCTCCTCTTTACTCTCCTCATTCTCTTCAATTAGATCTGAAATGAATAAATAAAACATTAGTTTTCATTAAGTCTTAAAAACTCTCATCAAAAGCTGAAAAGACACAGCACACACTGTAATTTTGATGCATGTTAAATGTAAAATAAATCAGATCATATTTTGTGTGGTCCATCAAGGTGTACCCATTTAAGCAGATTCAATTAAATTCATCTTTATTTATTTAGTGCTTTTAAAATGTAAATTGTGTCAAAGCCGCTTAACAGATGTTATAGTGAAATGAAACTGTGTCAGTCCAGTTTTCAGAGTTTCTTACATAATTGATCATAAAAGTCATTTTGGTCATATTGATAAGACACAGATTTGAAAGCTGTAAATGGCCTATTTTTATTCGTATATATTCATAATTACAACAAAATGTTTTTCTAAAATGTGTAAAGCAGACAGGGAATACTTGTTCATTCTGTGCCTGACTGGTAAACAGATTAGAAAAAAAGTTTTGGGGTCACAGCTGAACAAACAGCTGAATATTTGCCTCACAGACATGAGACATGCCTGTCAGCATCTGCAGAAGTGAAGTTTCCCAAACTAATTTTGAGAGGAGCACGTAATAGAATTGACTACAGCTGATCCCTATTACTAATCACTAACTAGCCAATCAGATCACTCAAAATTCAATATAAATATCCAGCCTAAACTTCATTCCTCATCTTCATTTTTGGAAGAACCGGAAACAGGTAGCGACACAAGCAAGCAAGCAAGAAAAAATCTGCAAAATGGTAAAGCACCAAACGCTCTCCACCACCACCACTGGCAACAATAACAATAAAAACAATCTCAACCAACCTAACGAGAGCGGCGCTCTCCTCGAAACTTTAGCCGAGGACCAGCATCAACTTACCCAGAGTGGGAACCAGCTTGAGCCCGAGGCTACAGTGAGAGGCCGAAGGCCAATCCGTTCTACAGCTACAAGGATATCTTGTCGTCTTCAGTTCCCATCCCCATCTGCCACAAATTTCCAACCACCTTCACCAGCCTCTTCGTACGCTTCAGTAACATCTTCATCAACCATCAACAGGAACATGACTGCAAACGAACTCCGCCAAATCATCACAGGCGCCGGGATTTCCATTCCAAGCCGATGCAATAAGACTGAACTCCTCAAACTGTACACATCCATTACCTCATCGACTTCGCCCACCAGGAACTCCAGAAACACCCGCTCCCGCCACGCCCCGTATCCCCTGCACATCGCTTCTCCGCCAGCCTCTAACCAACTCGGAACAAGAAAAGCAACTGGAAAAACTAAGAACACCAAAAAACCACAATCCCAACACCACCAAGACAATAGGAGCATTACAGGAACCACATCTACTCAAACCAAGGACATTAACCCAGACATTAACGCTACATTTTTTGGCGACAAGCGCCTCAATCTAGCGCAACACCTAGTCCTCATCCTTCTGCTTCTAATCCTATAGAGTTTTCCCTTCCCTCCAACCTTCCATCTACATCAACCAACCTTATCCACTCAAACCAGCCTATACATATCAGTCCTAATGCTCCTCTTCATTCTTCTTTTCTTCCCTCCAATATTCCTTCCTTCATGCCCTCTTCATCCCTCCAACAAGCACTCACATCCAATACTAACCCTCCTCAGCATCCTCCCCTCCCTACTAACATTTCTTTCACTCACCCCCCCTTCACCCTAGCCACTGCCATACCTCTTCCCATCCCTCAGAATGCTCCACTCCTGGAACCTCCACCCGTCTCTAATACCATCAGGAATCTCATCATCTCAGGTGCCGACATAGACCTCTCCACACTTATATCACCCATTGCACCTCCCACGGCGAAGCGCCAGATAGATTCAGCGAATTTTCACTTATACTAAAACTATCCACCAGTTCTCAAACCCGCACTCTTTCATTAACAGAATTTCACGTAGCTTTTTCCAGATACACAGAGGTAATTTGCTTGTTTTTTCCCCATAGCTGAACGATTACATGGCCATCATTTCAGAGCTTGCGCTCTCCTATGGGGGAACACATTTTTACACCTATCATAAGTTATTCTAGGCAAAATGTGCAATTCGCGTCTCACAATGGAATCAAATTCAATATTGGGAGGCTATCGACTTAGATCTCCATAATAGAGTCTTTCTCGGTTGCCGTAATCTATCCTGCGCGGTCTGCCGTTCCAGTCACCACTCCACCACCTCCTGTCCCTTCGTCATCCCTCCCTCCGATACAGTTTCACCTAACCCAAGATCCACCAGCTATGTTACTCGTGCATCCACCTCCGCTATTCCCGCTCTTCTTCCCTCTCAGTCTTCTTCCCGAAATCAATCTCCTCATAATCCCTGCTTCAACTTTAACACCGGAAGATGCTACCGACACCCATGCAAATTTCTCCACATCTGTAATTACTGTAATTACTATATATATATATATATATATATATACACATATGTGTGTGTTTTAAGTAAAAATTTAATATTAATTGTAACATTTAATTTTTTCCTAACGTTGATATTGGTTGGGTAATAAAGCATGATTTAGTTTAGCTTGCATGTGTGGACACAGTTTGATGATATGGGTTTATTACATGTAGGCTACGAATCAGATTATGAAGAATGATTAAGAACATTCATTGCATCTTTTCCGTAGGGTGTTTTATTTATTTATTTATAAAAAAAAATAAAAAAAACTTACAAATAGCTTCATCCAAATTATTGGTTCGCCTTTCTCGTTCGCCACGAATCCAAAATGTTCCAAAATTGCCGATGTAACAGGTTTTTCCAACAAGTTTCATGGCTGAACCGCCTCTAACGTTATATTCATAAATGTAGTCCTTGGCAACATAACGGAAAATTTGTAATAAGAAAAAAAGAAGCCCGGTGCTCTTTTGTATGGCACTAGAAAACGACTGGATCAGCTGGTGTGCGTGAGTCGAGTTGCTGTCGATGTATTAATTGTAATTTAAAAAATATTATGATATTCAAGATCTGTAAAGTAATACAGCTCTGGATGTAACACAGTGACCACAATTCTCCTCCATCATTAAAAGTTTGCCATAGTCGCCTTGACAACCCAAACACTGCTGTCACCTCAACAGAAACCCCGCAGTGCTTTCATTTGATTGTAGAATGAAAAAGACGAGACTGAAGTAGCACGCTTTTTCCGGCATGAGCACACAGCACACAACAGCAAAACACTTGCGGTTGTTAGTAAACCATTCAACAGATGCCCCTTATGCAGCAAAACTTTAAAAATGCATAAAGTATATTTTTAAATCGTTTAACTGAGACCGTTAAGCGGTTACAAACGCACCCTTTCGATTAATCGGTTATTTTGAGCATCCCTATAATTTAACAGCATGCACAGGCTCTAAAATATATAAATATTTTTCCCCTCTGGGCCGCAAGCCGGAGATCCGGCATGATGCCGGAATACTTTAAACCCTGGATGACAGTAGTAAAGCATGGTATAGTTACTTTGCATTGCAAGACTAAAGACACGTCTTTATTCACTCACTTTTTTTAGATAATTTGTTTCATCTGTTGTCATGTATAGCTGCACTGCGAAAAAGCTTTTCTTTCTTAGTCATTTAGTCTCGTTTCCAGTCCAAATATCTAAAAAATCCTAAATAGGCCTATTTCTCAAAATGGCGATCGAGACCAGAAGAAGCAAAGTTCCGGTAGAAGCAAAGTGCAATGGTGGAGACTAAAAGTAACCAATCTTGCAGCGCACCTTTTTGTACTAATTCCAAAAAGAAACAGCCATTTTTTGTCATTTCATAGCTTTCCCAGCAATGAAACTATTAAGAGATCTGTTGAGCCATCAGCATCCCATATTGTGTACTGATCCAAAGCTAAGAGGATTGGAATTTCAACTACAGAGAAAGAGGTTGTGATGCCAAGCCCCAAGCTCAAGATGCAACTCATTGATGAGTTTTTCATGTTTTGCCTGCATGTTGCTGTTGGTCTTAGTGAGAGTTTTTTCTTAAATATTTAAAGTGAGCACTTCAACAGTGAGTCGCATTGTAATAACATGATCAAACTACTTATACCTTGTGTTGGGATCAATTCAAATCTGGATGACCCAGGTGCAGATGCGACAGACAATGCCTGTGAAATTTCAGCGGTACTGCCCAAATGTGAGGGTCATTATTGACTGCACAGAGTTAAGGTGTGAATGCTCAGAGGCAATTACCCTCCACTCTGAAACGTTCTCAGCCTACAAGTCCCATACCACCTTCAAAGGTTGAACTTGATTGGCACCCTGTGGTGCAATCACATTTGTATCAAAGCTATTTTCTGCCTCTATTTCAGACAAGGAGTTGACAAAGCAGTCAGGAATCTTGGGCTTACTGGAACAAGGTAATGAGGTGATGGCTTATGAGGTGCTCTGCGGCGCTTGTGCATCCAGGTTAAACATAAACAACTCAGTGCGCATGCGCTAGTTGCACTATCGCGGTCTGATTATGTTTAAATCAAGATTTATATGCATAAAATACATAACATCTGTGCCAAACATTTCAACTGACGAACATATTAACAGTAATACAACCGTATAGCCGAATTAAATGTATGCATTGACATGTTATAGCCCTAATGAGTATGATTATGTGAAACTCCATATAGATACATATTGCAATAATTTCCGGTACTTACTTAGCGATGCAGGCAAACATATATGCACAATCCTTAAATGCTCTGCTGATTTGGACTCTATAATACCTGTTTTATAACTTTAAACTATCAACATCCATCACTGAGCTATATTCTAGCGAGAGTTCTTGCAGCTCCGTGGTGGATTTTGGCATAGTCCATTTCACGTGAGATGGAGGGGGTGAGTGGAAGAAACCAAGTCGCGGGGGGAATATTTTCTACAGAAATAATTTATGATTTCTTATGTGGCCCGGTACCAATTGTTCCACGGACTGGTACCGGTCCGCGGCCCGGTGGTTGGGGACCACTGCTTTAGATCTTGAAGGTGAGATAAAATATTGGACAGAGTGAAGACTCT